CAAATCCCATCCCATTTTCCCCCAAAATCCCCCAAATCCCATTGTTTTTCTCCCAAAATCCCCCAAAATCCCATCTTTTTGGCCAAAAATCCCAAAAAAATCCCCAAATTCCCATGGGGTGTGTGGGGTTTGGGACTGCGGAGCTGCGAGCGCTCCCTGGGGCTGCTGCACCCACAAATCGTCACCAACACCCTGCTGGAAAATCCCCTGCCTCTCGACAGGTAAATTTTGTTTCTAAAGAAATCCCCAAAATTAAAAAAATTTTAAAAAAAATCCCCCAAATCCCATCATTTTTAGCCATTTTCCCAAAAATCCCGATTGTTTTGGCCCCAAATCTCAAAAATCCCATCCTTTTATTGTGAAAATCTGTCCCTTTTCCACCAAAATCCCACAAATCCCATTCTTTTCACCCTAAATCCCATTGATTTTCCCAAAATCCCACAAATCCCATCCCTTTCTCTTGAAATCCCCAAAATCCCATCATTTCCAGCCCTTTTTTCCCAAAAATCCCGGTTGTTTTTTTTCCCAAAATGTTTTCTTTTTCCTGAATCCCCAATTTTTTTCCCCAAATCCCCTTTTTTCCCCAAAAATCCCATTTTTCTCCCAAATCCCCCAAAATCCCAATTTTTTTCCCAAAATCCCAATTTTTTTTCCTAAAAATCCCAAATTTTTTTCCCCAAATGTCATTTTTTCCCTCCAAAATCCCCATTTTTTTCCCATAAAATCCCCATTTTTTTTCCCTTTCAATTCCCATTTTTTCCCATATAATCGGATTTATTTTTTTCTAAAATCCCCATTTTTCCCCCTAAAATCCTCATTTTTTTCCTAAAATCCCCATTTTTTTCCTAAAATTGCCTAAAATCTCCATTTTTTCCCCCAAATTTTCCCAAAATCCCATTTTTTCCCCAAAATTCCCAATTTTTCCCCCCCCAGCCCCTCGTGTTTGATGTGGTGCTCTCTGGGCTCGGATCCATCACTGACCCCACAAATCCCATTGTTTATTCCCCCAAATCCCAATTTTTTTCTCTAAAATCTCCACTTTTTTCCCAAATATCCCATTTTTTCCCCAAAATCCCATTTTTTCCTCCAAAAATCCCAAATTCTTTTTCTGAAATTCCCTATTTTTCTCACCAAAATCCCTTCTTTCCCAAAAATCCCATTTTCCCCCAAATCCCCCAAATCCTAATTTTTTTTTCCCAAATTCCCATTTTTTCCCTAAAAATCCCAATTTTTTCCCATTAAATCCCGTTTTTTCCCAAATCCCCCCAAATCCCATTTTTTCCCTCTAAAATCCCATTTTTTTCTCTAATATCCCATCTTTTTTCTCCAAAATCCCCATTTTTTCCCTCTAAAATCCCCACTTTTTCCCTCCAAAATCCCCATTTTTTTCCTGAAATCCCCATTTTTTCCCCCAAAATTTTCTAAAAATCCCAATTTTTTTCCCAAATTTTCCCAAATTCCCATTTTTTCCCAATATTTTTCCCCCCATCCCCTCGTGTTTGATGTGGCGCTCTCTGGGCTCGGATTCGCCCCTGACTCCCCAAATCCCATTGTTTATTCCCCCAAATCCCAATTTTTTTCTCTAAAATCTTCACTTTTTTCCCAAAT